CTCCTCCCCCCGACCCCCCGCCCACAAAGATGTCTTATAGGTTTTGGCTAGACTCATGTCAGACCGGATCACAGATAACAAGAAGAGACCATGACAGACTCGCGGTCAGGCTGAAGGGTTCTAGGCTGGGGAGGATTAAAACAAATGGGGCTCATTTTGGAGAGGTGGATGAGTTAAATCAGTCAAGTCATTGTCCAACGTTCCACTGATTGTTTTGACGTCTATGCCAAGTTTAGCACCATGCGCAGGAATCTTGAAGAATCTCAGGATTAGGTGTATGTCAAATGAAAACACCCTTGCAGGGAAGCCTCTGCATGGAAAATGTGGAGGTGTGGATCATTTTAGGGTCAAGGGAAATCACAGGGAAAGTTTTGCTCAGAGGTCATGGGACAAGCTGCTTGTGTTCTGCCAGGCCACTGACTGTCTGGGAGATCCATTACCAGCAGTGGCTGGCTCAGGTTTAAGGTAATATTACCTTCAGTGCTTCCACTGACCAGAGTTCACTGCAGTGCAGGAGCCATCAGCTGTATTTGTCCCGTTTGCAACGGTGATTTCTACTGGTTCACTTCTTATCTCCTATGGATGGACTATCTGTACTTGGACTGATAAATATTATCTAAAGCAAAAATTGCATTTATTTGTTTGCCACTGAATCACCTTATCATTAAACTTGACCTGACATGGATTTCCTTTTTTACAACCATCTACAACGAGATAGATGCACCATGAAGAGTTCATGATGATAGACAGGTAAAGCTTTGATGCTTGTTTTTCTCCTGGTCCATTGTTTGTAATGTGTTACCACTTGGAGAGGAAACCCAGTGTAATTTGATAAGTTGCAATCATGCTTTTTCACACCGTTGGTTTAAAGCGCAGGAGCTACACAACAGCTTGGGAAAGCATAAATGCCTGTTACAGTTTGTCTCGTCCTATTTATTCTGCTGCCACTCTTCTGGTGTTTCAATAACAACAATGGGAGGTGTTTTGGTGGTTTATATACATATATATGCGTAGGTTTATTCATTCTTGAATGTGAGGGGAACACTGAGGGTAATGTGTTAGTTGGAGCCCTTTAATCGCAGGATCATAGAGGATATTCAGCTCGCATAGCTCCAATGCCACATTCCTTTCTCTTGTAAATTAGCGTCCAAGTGGGGCTACAAATTGTGGCCCAACCTTGGGGTAAGGCTGAGTTTAGAGGAAGGCTCTGATGAAGATGGTAACCCTGGATTGACCCCATGTTGTGAAAAAAAAAGCAAACAGACTCAGTAGCTCTAGTAGTGTGGCACAAAAAGGAGGCGGGTCACTTGGGTGTTGGTTCTTTCAATGTAACGTGTTGCAATGAAGCTGGCTATGGGCTTTATGCTTTGCTTATAACTTTTTCCACTTTTTCTTTATTCCCATTAAAAAAAAATATAAAAATTGTCTCTGTCTTCTGGTTGTCCTCCACAGTACTTCCTGACCATCCTGATGCAGGCCTTGAGGATGAGCGCTGTCCGCTATTGACAGGCTGCGACAGAGCTGGGGGTCAGTGTGTGTGCGATGCACGTCGTTCCTGCTTGGGAACTTTCGCCTATCCGAACCAAGAAACTTGTCTGAAGGCCAGCAAGTCAGGTAATCCCTCTCTTTCCGCCTCCTACTACGTTAAAATACACGAATGTTTGGATCAGAGAGTAGAGTCCGGGTTAGATTATAGCATGGTATTCATAGAGAGAGGGGCTAATGCAAAACAGATGTGGCTCTAAGGTGACTAATGCTACTTACATATCCTAGTGATGACACATGGGCTCGGGCTTTATGTAGCGGTCTGTAACTCACCGCTGAGCGCTGCCTGTGTGTGTGTGACTCATCAATCATGGCGGCTTGTGTGGGTTTCAGACGGTCGGAGGCACGAGCACCGGGACAGACACAGAGAGAAGTACGTCGGGCCGGCCAACCCGGCGTGCACGTTCTCCGGGTGCAACCTGACTGCCGAGGGCTGCGTTTGTGAGTCGCAGAGCTGCCACCACCACTTTGCCTACATCAACCGCAGCCAGTGCCAGGAAGCAGCAGGTAACCCAAAAACTGCCTGAGAGTGAAACCCATACAATAGCTTTGCTCAGATCAGGTATTTTATTATCCACTTCTGAAAGGCGAAGACAGAGAATGTTTTTGTTTGTAACTGTCTGTTATTAAAATCTCAAGAAACACTAGAGCATTTTCAATGAGGCTTGCAGAAAGTAATCATTGGTTTTACATCTACAGCTGATTACTGTTTTGAGTCTAAATGTAGATGGCAGCCACAGCTGATCTACATAAACATAACAAAACCAACACAAAAATGGTTTTAACTCCGTAAATTTTACAAACTGAGCATGGCACATTGAGATACTGCAGGATTGCATAATCTTTTTTCGAGGTTTGACCAAAACACTGCAGTTGTGTCATTTCTCAACATTAAATTATTTTAGTTAATAACTCTCAAGCTTTGCAGTGGTAAAAACTAGGATGCAGTCAAAACTCAAAAATCCAAACAAGCAGGACTGATTTGGAAAACACAGCGGCCCAACAGGCAGGAGAAGACAAGACAGAATTTAAAGAGTGAAACTGACGAAGGGAAATGAGACACACCTGGGAAAAGAAAACAAGGATCAGGTGTGGGAGGAGCTGGRGAAAACTGGGGAAAAGCTAAACTGATACAGGGAGCAAATAGACTCTATACGCAGCACAGAAAGGAAAATAAACAGAATAAATAAAAATCCCAGATCCTCACAATAACGGCTGATATGCATTCCTGTAAGGAAAGCGGTAGGTTTTTATATAAATACAAAGTTGCGGAAATGACACAGAACAAAAAACCAGTATTCATGATTTATAGATATATATGTTTAAACACTTGTGATTTAAAATTTCATTTATTTGTTCAGAGCAGAGGATATAAAACCTGGGGGAGGATAAGGAAGTATAGAATGGGCAAATGTATGAATCAAATGTTTGCAGACTGTCTAGGCGGCATGCTGAGATATACAAAATGTGGAGCTTCAGGTGCAGGACAGACTCATTAGTCTGTGAATGAATAGAATGCAGGATGTACGCCTCCTCTGTGCCAGAGGTGAAAAGGAGAATCCTCTAAACAAAGTGAGAGAGGACAAGAATGTGTTTTTTAATCTCTGCTTTTAGCAGCCTTTCTGATTGACACGTCGATGTGAAAAAAAAAACAACTCATCATTGGCAGTGCTCGTTGAGTTGCCTCGTTTGGACTGTGTGCTGTTTGATTGACAGGCGCTAAGTGTTGGCTGCGTCTCGAGTGGCATTTGCAAAATAGAACAAGACTGCTACCGAGGGCACTCAGTGAACTTTAAAACACGTTCAATAAAAGTCCCGACTTATTGCTTACAGACAAAACGTGCTTTTCTGGAAAACCTCGCTAAAAACGGAGTAAAAAGAGATGGACGAAAAGATGTCTCAAGCGTGTTTATCTCCCTTGATATATCTCTGACCTCATGCCATAAAGACACATTTGAGTTTATTTAGTCTGCAGCTAGCAGGGAAGTTATGTTCCACACACACCCCCTTAACGGCTCTATGGATGTTTCTCTTGAGTCATTTGTGTAGTAAATCCCACAGGAAGTGCACTCGTCAAACATTATATTGTGCAGACATATCATTGACTCTAGTGTTACAATGAAAGAAGGTTTGTCTGCATTGTGCAACTCCTCTCAAAGCTTGGCCGGGCCCACTGGATGACAGTTTAAACTCACATCAGTGAAAACTGTAAACAACATTTTTCAGCAGCTTATGACTTTTCACCGCAGCGCAGAGCCGCCCCTCAAATGGCCCCTCATTAGGCAGAAGATGAGGATGTGTGAAGCTGTTAAATAATACATGTGGAACAATGCACACACGTGCACGATGCGCGGTGTGCTGCGACAGTAACTCATAATGAGCCTGCGTGCCTGAGTGTGTTTGTGTCTGTGGGAGATAACCATCTTGTTTGTCTTGACGTCGCAGCAGAGATTTGTCTGTCACTGGAAAGAGCTTCCACTACACAGAACTGTGTTGTGTGTTTGGACTCCATGGTGACCATGCATGTCTTAGACACAAACACTTATTTATTGCTTGCTGTCAAAGGCAAAGGTGGAGCAATAAGGCTTTGGTGTGTTTGTCTGCATCGTTTTACATCAAGATAGCAACCACAGCTAAGTCACCTTAAAGGGAACGCATCATACAAAATCCACTATTTTAGCTTTTAAATACATTTTGTTGTGTACTTGGACTCTCTAAGAGTGCAGAAAAGTTGAATTTAGGCCCTATCCCAATACCTGCACTCCCACCCTCGTTCCGCCCATGTGCWCTTCAAATGCACATTCATGTTGAAGGGTTTCAGTGAGTAGTGTGTCCCACGTCCGCCCTTCGCCCCGCCCATTTTGGGTACTATTTCCGCCCTTACGCGAAGTCCACATTTTTACGGACTTCGGCTAAGTGTATTACCCACGATTCATTGCTGTGTGTGACGTTTTGAATTGAAAGGCAGAAATCTGGCCACTTCCACTGAGCACCTTCCAGTTTAGTGGTGGCAGTAATGCACTTAAAATAGACTGCCAACCACCAATAAAAACAGAAGAAGAAGAACTTATARAAATTAGTTCTCATACTCTGATGTATGAGCCTCCTTCACTTCATRCGCTTTCGTCTCCTAAAAACGATTGCTTTTTGTAGCTATACTGTCTTTTTTAGCAATACAAATACCAAAACAAGTGACTGGTCCCACCATGTTGGATGTCGCAGTTACGACACAGAGGTGCAAGTCGATGACGTAATTCGTACTCTCCCAATTCTCTATTTTTTTTGCACGCTTGTAACCTGCGCACTCGAACACTATGTGCACTTCGACTGAATCCACACTTCACAGAGGGGYGTAGGGTGCGCACTAAGCATTGGGACTGGGCCTCAGTCTCTCCCGGTATTTTTCAACCTGTTCAGTTTTTTTCTATATTCTATGACATTTTCTGAACTAGTACATCAAATTATTTGAGACAGAAATGCCAAATAARGTCTGGACTTACCAACTACAATTTTGTTGTCTTCATTCTCCTCTGGCTCTGRGTCAAAATATCTCATTTTAATCAAACCTTCTGAAAGTAATCATTACGTTGACATTTATAACTGATTAAGTTTAAGAGATTAAGAGCACTAAGTGATGCCTGTAACGTTTGACGTGATCCCATAAATTCTATTTTGACACTCAAAGAATAATTCTTTTTGTTCTCTAAAAACAAGAATATTTTTTCATCATTTCATTTAGGTATATTTTATTCATTTTGATGATCATCTGCTTGTGTTCTGGTGGCAAACACTGATATTGTTTGGTTGCGTTCATTTAGACGCAACATGGTGTGCCAGACGTTTTGCCCACATGTCAGGGAGGAAAGAGGATGTGATAAGTGCTGCAGAGGAAGGACAGATGCAGCGCGATTAGAAATTGCAACAGAAACCAACAATTTTGTTGAGGTATTTGTGTACAGACCCCAGGGTTGTGGTAGGGTGGTGTTTGGTTGTTTTACACTCTGGAATGGTTTACATATTTCAATCATGATAAGGCCCCAGACTGCTATTTTAGAGGAATTCCCCTGCTGTTGCTCACTGATAAAAAAAACAAGCAAAAGCAGGCTGTGCATTTTTTGGTGATTCATGCAGCTGGCGTCACTTGATGCAAACATGTGATCAGACGTGGAGATAGATGTAAACGTGAATTATGCTGAAGCGGCTTGGTAAGTGCAAGCCGGAGGAATGTGCTTCGCAGACAGCTGGTAGTTCACAAGTGGTTCATCAGACGGCAGAAGCGGTGCCCAGTGTGATGCCATAGCACCGAGTGACCTCGTATGCCACCTCCGTCCTGCCTTTTTCTGCCCCTGTGAAAGGACTTTTAGTTCTGCTTGGCTGCAGCCTCTTTGTGGCATGGCCATTAACAGCTGAGCCAGACCCACACTGGCTGGCGGGGGCACGAGACGTCTCAATGCTGAATGTTTGCGCGCCGTCTGAGGAAGCTGCGGCCTCGTCGTTTCCCACAGCATGTGTGTATTAATATAAGTGTGGGATTGAAAGAGGAAACAAAGATCCTGTGTGGCTACTGAGACAAAAAAAAGGTCTTTTTTAAAGGCCCGTTGAGGATTCTGTCTATCCACTTACTTCTCTTTGTCAGTCACTGAACAAACCAAGCAATATTGGTCCAGCAAGAAGAGCCAATATACACATAAAACAAGTCTTTGACTCCTCCTGCATGTCCAGCTCTAAATGATTACCTTTATCCAGGCTTAAAACCTTAAGTACTCAGCCATAACCATTACGTAATCAAAGAATCCCCAATAGAGCCTAAGATAACTCTTGATGTTTCCCGACTCTGCTTTTATTATCGTCATGTTGCTTTCTTCTCTGAAAGAGAAAAAAAAATCCCATGGCTGAAATCCATACATCATGCAACTGCTTCATCTGCAATTTATCAAACAGATGTCTTCGCTCCGGGTTTTTCACGAGTTTGTTTTCTACATTTGCAACACATTACAGCTGAGTCTGAGAAACTGTACATGTGACGCTTGTTCTGATTTGTTTTGAAGAGCTTTATCTGGATTCCTCTGTAGCAGGTAATATTCTGTTTCTGTTCCATTTTACAAATTCCACATAAAATGCAAAAGGTATACTGTAACTAACAACTATGTCCTGTTGACAAGATGGAACAATATTTTCCCCATCCCTTTTCTTTAAGTTCCAGTAGGTGAACAACATTCATCAAACTTTGTTACAGACTCATGGCCCACAAAACAGCATGGAACAAAACCCAGAGAAACAAAAATAAATAAATAAAAATAAACAAACAAGAAAAATTTAAATTTAAAAAAGAAAAAAAAACACATGAGCAACCATACAATATAAGCAATACACCCTACAAAAGACAGCTGTACCAGTGCCTCCACAAG